CACACCCTGTATTGGTTGGCAACAAGTGGAGAAAGCCAAGTTGATGCTATGCTGTGAAATTTAGTAAGTGTCGCCTTCTCTTTTATGGTCTGCCTTACAGAGTTGAACTGCTATATCTATCCCACTTTTTGTCTATATCTGGAAGTGAGGCACCCAGCAGGGAGGGAGTAATCCCTGGCCTGATGAGAGAGATGGACTTATGCTTTATTGAACTCCAACAACTCAGATGGAATTTGAACTTAATTCTGTACCTCTTTTGAGAGTAATTACACACAATATAAAATTATCAAACTTATTTAATCTTCACATTTGAAAAGAATAAATTATCTTTAATTGGCCAGCAGATGGGGTAGGATTGGTACAAAAATCCAAGACATCATGAATACCTCTTAGTAATTTTGAAAGAATTTCACCCTACCCGAATAATTTGGAATTTTCATACACCTGTACTTTAGGGCTGCTTTAGTGAAAACCCCACCTGTATTTTAAAGTGGTTGTATTCTCCTGTCTGTGTTATGGGGATGAATCACACACCTGGTGTACTTGGGACAAACCTTTAAGCAAATAAGATCAAACTCACAGTGGTAACAAGTAAGTTACCTATAGAGAGAATAGCCATGGTCAAATGCAAAATAAATAATAGAACTCTCCCAAAAACAGAATTGACAAAGTTTGCAATAAGCAATAACAAGAAAAAGAAAAGAACAAAGTAAAAAATAATATAAAGCAAGCAAACAATATGTGCAAGGAAAATTAACAGTAATATGGCAAAGCAACAGTAATATGGCAAAAAGTTCACTAAGGATTGGGGTTGACACACAAAAGAAAATTTGGACAAGCGAACATAGCATTCTGACTTCGAGACAGGATAGACCGGGATTGCGGCAGATGAAACTAAGAACCGATCTATTTTATTAGATAGGAAAAAATCCCAGCATGCATTTGTATGCATCTGCCTATAAAATGGGGAAGGATAAGTATTTAGCAGTCATTTCCATGGGGATTTAAATCAACATTACCAAACTCATGGTTGGTTGGTTGGTGGGTAGTGTTATTTTGGTTCTGAATTTCAGTATGTACCCAAGTACTAAAATGGTGTTCCACCTATTTTGACTAAGTACCCATGTACTAATTTTCTGGTACCCACTTAAACTTATTATTTTGATCAAGTTTTTCTAAGTTACCAGGAGTGATGCTAGAGTGATGGTTCCTTCTTCACCTTTTCAAAAATGTATAGAGCATATTTTCATCCAAATAATTGTCTGTGGCTTTTATTTCCTTCATTTTGATTGACAAACAAGAAAAATTAAAAATGGTGAAAATGTTGGTATTTTCGTACGTATGTACCAAAATATTTTCAAAATTTTATAAGACACCACCATCACACTAAACCTCATAGAGTCTTGAAGTTTGGTGCCACACCCACTTTAACATTTTTGGATATTTAACAGGTTCTTATCTATTTGGCTCCCATTTGACAGAATTTTTTTCTTTTTGTTTGGATTCAGTAGTTCAAGAATAAAATTTATTTATTTTATTACAATGTATAATTTTGGGATCAACTTTTATAGATTCTTGTGAAGCTAAACTTTGTCTGTGTATCCCCAGGTTACACATAATGATTGCTTTCCAATGTTTTTATATACTAGAATTTTTTGCAACACACTGACACATATTGAAATCAACACAGTATTTAGTATTGTTGAAGTTATTGCTAACATTTTTCAAGGAGATTTAAAGTCTATGTTTTGTTCAATTTCACAAACCAAACAATGAAATTTAAATAAACTAATTTGTTTGGAAAATACTTTGACAGAAACCCTACTTCACAGTTTTTACACACCTTAGTAAAACCAACTACCAACTTAACTGTTTGCACTTGTCCCCAAAATTTAGTTTTAATTGGTCAATGTATGGTTATTTCAGAGAGTTTCAGACAGATGGACAAAAGTCACAGAATTTTATATTTATGAGTTATTAATTTTGAAAATAAAAAATAATTCCCATATATAAACAATGTTTCTGTTAGTAAAGTTATATTTTTTAATTCATTGTGTTTGTATTGAAAGAATTTATATCTGCCTTGCCAAAATTCAGTTGTATGTTAGAAAACCTACAGCATTCATAATAAGCATTGTTGTCATCTGATATTTCACATTACTACAAATTTGTCAAACAAAACTGAAAAATAATTTTTTTCTCACTGCATTTATTTGACTTCTGTAAAAGGAAAAGAGAACTGTCTGAGATTTATGATCAGCATATATGATCTTTTATAAATTCGCATGAGGCTAAATATTGTCTACCTGTCCCCACTTTATATCAGTAGAAAAAAAAGAAAAACACCCAGCCTGTCCCACTTTGGAAAGATTTTCTATCAGTCTTATATATATATATATATATATATATATATATATATAAGGAAAAAGACAATAGGAAAACTGTTGATTTAGCCAATGTATTTCGTCCAATGTGGACTATTTAAAGGCAAAAAACGAAATGAATTTATTGAAACAGAGTATTTCATTTTTGCCTTGAAAATGTCCACATTGGATGAAACAGGTTGACTAAATCAACAGTTTTCCTATTGTCTTTTTTCTTAATACATATTGTTTTTTTCTACAGGTTAAATTTGAGAAATTTTTATATATATATATATATATATATATAAAAGTGAACATTAAAGTCAACACTCAGAGGTGACAGGCTGTTTCATGCTAGGCGCAATCATCATATCATATCATATTGTCATAATATATATATAATTAACAAATGGCATTTACAACATAAGCAGTAAAATTTAATTTGCATAACAAATTTTGAAAAGCATATTTTAATAAATATTTCATCAGTGTTTCTTGCTTTGTCAAAATTCAGTCATAAGTTAGAAAACTTACAGTGTTTGTAATAATAAGCATTGTTGTAATCTGATATTTCACATTATGGCAAATTAGTTTAATGGAACTGAAAAAATTATGTAATTATCTAAAGACAAAATCTGTTTAATTAGCTTTTAATTAGATGACCAGCTCTATGTAACTATTTCACCATTTCTTCTCACAGTTTATGAGTTAATTAGTAGAACTTGTATCAAAAAACAGTTTCAAAAACTTTCTTACACTCTAAAAATGTTTTCTGGCTGTAAATAACCTGTAAAAGGTTGATAAGTGATAAAAAAACAGATCAATCTATGTACTTATGTAAGGGTTGGAAATTCAACTGGACTTAGTATAATGACCGAGAGTACTTTAAAAAATAGATGCCTTTTTGAAAATGTTGTTTATAGAGAGATATCTTCTATACAAAAACATCTCTGTTCATATGACAGGTATTTGGCTAGTTAAGTAAATTTGCCTTTGACCTGCTTTAATGCTGGTCAAGCATAGATCTATGACGGTGTCATAAGTGAAGATTTTGATGAATTTTTAAATTAATACAAAGTTAACCTGGAATTGTTTTCTATTTGTTGAGTCAGAAACTGAATGCAGATTTTCCAAAATGTCTATCGTCCTGAGTAAGACGATAAACTGCATCTGTGTCCTGGGTAAGATGATAAACTATGTCTGACAGCAAGGCCTCTGATCAGGAGGTTTTGAGGAGCGTGGAACCACCTCTTAATTACTGGTGTTCTGAGGTCCAACTTGACCTGGGGTGTTAGGGTTCCAGCTATGAGCAAATAGTTAACCCCAAACCTGGGGTCAAAACATTATGAAAGTGTAAAAATGTTTTAATACCAGAAATACATTTTTGTAAAAAATTATTACCAGCAATAAATTTTTGAAGGAAAAAATTATTACCAGCAATAAGTTTTTGGAGCAAAAAATTATTACCATTAATAAATTTTTGGGAAAAAATATATTACCAGCAATAAAAATTTTGTTGGCATTAAATAACCCATTGAGGTTGATATGCTGTAAAACAAAATAAACAAAACCAAAATGTCTAAATTGTTAATTTCATCAAAAATACTTTACATTATAAACATTTTTTAAAGGTACAGATCCCAAATATAAACATTTTTTAAAGGTACAGATCCCAAATATAAACATTTTTTAAAGGTACAGATCCCAAATATAAACATTTTTTAAAGGTACAGATCCCAAATATAAACATTTTTTAAAGGTACAGATCCCAAATATAAACATTTTTTAAAGGTACAGATCCCAAATATAACTTGTAAAATTGGAGTCATGTTGTAATTTTCTGTTGAAAGAAAAAAGTAGTATAATTTATTTAAAGTGATCACTTCTTCATCAACTCTCATCAGAGTGGACTGTTGATAAGTTTTTAAAAATATTAAACTATAAAATGTAAATACTATGAAAAAATAAGGTAAAACAGTTGAAATATAGACTTTCTTTGCTAGCTCAAAAAAAAAAAAAGGATTTAGCTGAGAGATATATCTCTGATTAAAAATAACTGTATGTAGAGAAGAGGCAGTTTCATGCCTTTCAAAAGAGCATTTATGTGAAAGTAAATACAACAGGCTAGTCTAAAATTTGAATTTGGCTTATCAATTCCACTACCAGCACATAAAGAACTAGAATACGTTGTAATCTTGTAAAATCACCAATCCTTATTCTTCATTTCTCAATTATGCCAAATTAGTAGTAATTAAAAAAAAATATTTTCACCCAATGTAAGTCTCAAGTGCTGCACAAAATAGAGGGTTACAGAATAAGGTTGTTGTATAGATGTGATAGGAGGAAGTAAGTGTAGGTCATGAGGATATATAGGATAGATAACTGTTGACTCTAGACTTTAAGTGGTTAAACTTGTAGTGATCAAGGAAGCATCCTCTCGGGAGTTTATCCCAGAAAATAACAGTTCTATAACTGGTATCATCCGGCAACAGAACATATTATGAAAGACTATCTGGATAAACAGAGAATGATGTTAATAACTGTTTGTAGAAAGAATTTCATTCAGGTTGTCATTATAATCCAGTCATAAAAGAATATCTAAATCAGCTTTTTGTTTTTTTATACTAAAGATTTTCT